ATACTTTTTACACATTTTTCTCATATATATCTACTTCAAATGCAACTATCTGATCTCCATTTACCTACTCCTAAAGAAACAACAAGTATATATTCTTATTTAATTTACCAAATACTTACTTATGAACCTATCCCAACTGTAAATATTTTCATATTCCAATGTTGTCTTAATAATAGCTTAATATTTTATATATGTGACATCTAATAATCATTGTTTTCCACAATTTTTTTGTAAATAATCGCAAAAAAACACCTACCGTAAGGAACATATATAATAAAAACAAGGGAGTATTATTATACTACACATCCTTCATGAAAAGGATTTTCTATTTTTTTTTTTCTTACCTATTATTAAAAAATAATAATAAAATAAAAACCATGTATCTCAATATTATAAGCCAACTTTATTATGATGAATTTGATTTCCACCTAAAATACCTAATATGCACTCTTGTTGTACATTTTCTTAAAAAATTTATAGCACACATTAAATGCATTTAAAACTAGTAGTTTATTGAACAAGCAAATTAAAGAAGTACTTGCACGACATATGAATCTATTAAGGCCATAATAAGACTTTGACAAGACAACTTTATCAATCTTATTCCTCTAATCATTATATGTGGTGTATGGCTCGTAAAGTTGTATGAATTTGAAATTAGGATTAAAACTAAGGTGGTATTTGGGGCTTGATTACTAATGCTATGTGTTTGATTTTGTTCGCGAATAAACATTTTTCTTATGAGTTATAACCACCTTCTCTTAACCATGGAGTTTCTAAATGTCATACTTCGTATATAATAACTTATGGGTTTGAGGTATGAGTTTTAAAAAATATAAATTTTAAACAAACATTAGTTATGTATGAGTTAAATTGGATAAACTCATACGTTATACCAAAATTGAAATATAGAATATCTAATATTTCCTCCATCCGTTCTTTATTAATCAAAACATTGAAAATTTTACAACATACATAAACTCATTTGACCGTCTTTTATGTTTATATATTAGGACCAAACGTAAATATAATATTGGCATAGAATGGTTTTCTCCATATACCCAACACTTTTGCATGAATAGTTTTCTCGATATATTCTTTCAAAAACGCCAAACATAAAAACACCAAACATAGCATCGTTTGAAGCATGCTAATCACTAATGGCCAACTTTTGAAAAGAATAATCAAATTGACGCTAGCCTGAAGTTTTTGTTAAATTATCCGCCAATTGTTTAGTTGTAGGAGCTTATGATGGCTTAATCACCCCTTCAATAGTGTATTCTACATACCATAACGGTATCAACTCTAACATATTTTGTCCTCTTATGAAAGACAAGGTTTAATTTTGTGCAATACATAAGGTGATCGATTGACTAAAACAAAATAAGGGCATAGCCAGAGTAACGAGAGCTTGATGCCAATGTTGTTACTTTTATTTAGGCACTATTGGATAATCGGTACACTATCAAAGATCGAATTAGCTCCAACTTCAATTTTGATTATGGTAAATAAAGCTCCAATTTTTGTGTAATTAAGTTACTTTAACAATTAATTTTTTGGTCCCTAGACCCCCAACTCCCGGCCTCAAGTTTTGTTTTGTGAGAATTAGTCTTTCCTTCAATAAATTTAAATGGATTATCTTGTGATTATACTTAATGTTCGAGATAATCCTAATTATACGAAAATTTAAATCTTTGTACCTACTTTAATTTGAAAATATATCACAAAACTCCGAAATTCTACATATAATTATTTTAGTTACTTGAAGAAATAGAACTTGTAATGGAAGTATATCACAAAACTCCGAAATTCTACATATAATAATTTTTGTTACTTGAAGAAATAGAACTTGTAATGAAACCGTCATATAAAATAAATACCTCAAAGTTAAATTGAGTTACAAAATTTTAGACCTCAAACTATAACCTTGGTCAATATATTTTCATTTATTAATATTTTACTTTAAAAGTACGTTAAAACTATTTGTATGTGGATGATATGGAATATATTAGTATAGATTATTAATAATAAAAAGAGTTGATGATTATACATTTTTGATAATGCACTTTTGGTATAAAGATAAAAAAAAGTTTATTTGCTTGGTTTGACGAAGTTATGTGCATCAAATTATTTATAATTGGAGTAGTAGGTTGTTAGCTAGTGTCCTTATTTTTTCATTTTGTTGCATCATTAAGCATGTGTTCAATTAATGAGAAATGAACTAAATTAGTGGTACACTAAGTTAGCCACTTACCCCACGTTTCTAGTATAGTTGCCTAGTTTCTTGATGATTTGGTTTTGTTGACATCTTATATAATAAGGTAAAAGTTAACGAACGCCCGACGTTGGATAAGATAATCAAAAGTAGAAATATTGAATTAAAATGAACATTAATTACACTAATCAATGTGTGATTTTGACATGCATTCCTAAAGTGATACCAACTTATTAAATATTCTAAATATTTAATTATCTAACGCTCCGAAAACGTTTGTTAGCAAGATTTTTTTTCCATGTGAATGAGAATGCAATAGCTACTTTCCAATGTTTTGCTTTGTTATTTTCTTTTTTGTTCCAACGTGGTGGTATTAAAATCTTTTATAAATAAGAGGTAAAGTGCAAGAAAATTAAGTTTTCGAGGATTGCTATAAATGTTGATATGTTTTGCTTTTGCAAGATAAGCAGACCTTTCTAAGGGGATGACATGTCATGCTTGGGAGCTTGCCAAGTCATCGCCGATGTGGCGTGTTGCCATCTAATAGGAGGAGAAGACAATTGTTTGCCTTGGATTATAATAATCTATGTTACACTTACAAAAAAAATTTGTAACCTAAATCCATAGGATTCAAAGTAAGATTCTTAGTCTAGACCTAGTAAACGGGTCGGGTCACTAAAAAATCGGGTCAAGTTCAGATTGAGTTTATTTGAGTTTCAGGTTAACATATAATCGGGTCGGGTTGGTTACACTTTGGGTTGAGGTCGGGTGGATCGGGTCAAGTTCGGGTCGGGTCGATTATTAGGTTCAATTGTCGGGTCAAGTTCAAGACAGGTCAATTCGGGTCGGTCATGTTCGGGTGATTCTATTTCGAGTCGTCAATACTATGGGTCAAACTCAAATCTGTAAATTTATTATTATTATCATTCTTAGCATACTGTGTTTTCTTACATTAAATAAGCTAGAAAGTAGACAAACTTGTGTGTCTAAATAATAATCCGTTAGGTCATATTGGGTATCAATTATTTTTGGTTCGGATCAATCAATTCGGATCTAAATAAGGTCGGGTCACTTTGGGTATCGGGTTACTTACTTCGGATCGGGTCACTTCGGGTATTGGGTCAATTTTGGGTCGGGTACAGTCGGATCATGTCACTTCATGTATCGGGTCAAGTTCAAGTCAACTCCACTTCGGGTCGGGTATGGGTCAGGTCAGGTAAGTTTAGGGTTCGGGTCCATTTCGGGTCAATTTTTAGGTCCCAAGGCGAGTCATTCGGGTTAGATCAATTAAAACAACCCTTACTATGCTCAGCTTGCTTAACACCCGTTCATAAACCCAACACCGGAGCCCTAAACTACCCATAGCGTGCGACAACTAACTTACGACCAGTGGGGATCTTGAAACTTTCTCTATCGGGGGCCAAATTTTTGTAATATAAATGTAACTATGTAAATCCATAAGAGTTAAAAAAATAACAAAATTACACTAATTGACTCAAAATATGACTCAACTTAAACTATTGACACAAAATTGTCGTATTTTTAAATTGATTTGAGAATGGACACTAAATACACCCCGTGATATGAATTTAATAAAAAAAATGAAATTAATATCGTCATTAGAAATTTCAATGAGTATAAATAATGTTTTTAATTACCTACTAAATTAATGTCAATTTGTTTATGATAAAATTTCATGTTAACGGTTATAGTTCGATCTTAGTTCATATTAATGAGTGTTATTAACAAATGTCATATCAAAAATGAAAAACACAAATTTAAATATACATATTCAAATTGATTTATAAAAAAATATATATAAGAAATATTATTTCCTCATTAGAGCATTACATTTTTGTCATATATCCTCTTATCTCCTCTTTAATGGGCTTAGTTCAAGTTTAACAAATATTTTACAATATTATAGACTTATAGTTCAACTAATTTTTTTCACAAATGTTTTGGGGGGCCAAGCCCCTGTGAGCCTAACAAAAGGTCCGCCACAGCTTACGACATAGAATTAATTCGTTAAGCCGTCATGCATAGTGGGTCACGCTGGTAGCTAGCGTGGCATGATACTTCCCAGTGCACCACGCTGGTGGTTGGCGGCCGGTGACATAGCACTAACCTAATTTTGTGTTCCCTCTTTTTTATAAACCCCTTTCGACCCCAGGTTTTCAACATAGATTAATATCATTTCTAATACTTATCACTGATATTATAAGCCTATTATGCCCTTCACAAAAATCATTTTCATGTTATTTAAAGCATCATCTGAGTCAAACTCAAGCCATTGACGATCAATTTAATTAATCTATCCCGAGCTATATTCCATTAGTTCCTGGATGCTTAAAGATCCATCGATGGCACGAAATTATACAAACAATGATTAAAAGGTACAATTGTGAGGGTAGTGTCAAGATCTATTGCAACTTAACTATTAATGAATTATGTAAGAAAATATTTATATTTGGGTCATATGACTTTTGGACTTGTATGCTACCTACTAACTTTTTAGTAAAAGTGGGCCAATTATATAGATATAGGTCAAAATATTGGTCCGACGTGATAATAATTAAAATGAGATCAGGTCGGATCAACTTTTCCATGTTTAAAAATAGCTCGGCCCTTTAGCTTTAAATCAATACTCGTTTTTGTATTAAATGTCCTGGAATACTCAAATCATAGATCACTAGTAGAAAAACTTAAATCACCACCGCAAAACGTGCACCAATTTTTTAAAAACCGGTGCGATTGAGAGAAAGAGTTTTCGCACCGGTTCTAACCAAACCGGTGCGTAAAATGAGTTAATCGCTCTAGTTCGGTTCGAACCGGTGCGAATGCTTTTGCAAGAAAAAAAAAGGGGGCTTTATTCCTTCATTTCTATTTCTGTCTTCTTTCTTTCTCTTTCCTCCGTCTCTTTCCCTTTCCTTTTCTCTCTCCTTCGATCTCCTTCTCCACCGCCGGCCACCTCCTTTCGTTATTCCGTCGCCGTGCTCTGGTGTTTTTCGTCGTCGTGCTGTGGCCCGGTCTGTTCCGGTGGGTTGTTCGTTTCGACGAAATTCCGGTGCATTTCAGGTAAATTCTCTCCCTCATCTGTAAATTAAATCTAGGTCATTCTCCATTCGAAATTCTTCATTCTAATTCTCCATTCGAATTCTTCATTCTAATTCTCCATTCGGATTCTTCATTCGGGTCTGCTTCTCCTATTGTGGTTCTGGGTTTTATGTGTTTTGATTTGTGTTTAGATCTACTATGGTTTCCCTAAATTCCAATTTCACAATTTCAAGGTAAGCTCTGACCCTAATTTTTTATTCTTAATAAAAATCAGAATTGTGGCCATTGTGTTGTTCGAGTATGGTGGGTTAATTTCGGGTGGTTTTCGAGTGGGTTTGAGGGGCTAATTTTGGGTAGGTTTCGAGTGGATATTGGGGGGGGGGGGGGGGCTAATTTCAGGTGTGTTTCGAGTGGTTGTGGGGGCTGATTTTGGGTGGAAGAGGTGGTTTTGACTGTGTGAGAGGTGGTTAAGTTGTTAATTAACGCATAAACAATAGCATTCTCATTAGCTTGAATTTCAACATGTAATTCATGATCGCGGAAGCGTTAAAGTGTAGAATTTACCTCCAGCCATGGCAGAAACTACGAGGAAGATGAAGATGAACAACCTCGTTGCGGCGCCGAAACCGAATTTTATCTACCTTTTATTCTGGTGCTGAACCCTCACTCTCACTTAGATGGTGTTTGTTATTTGAGAGTTGGATGCAGTGACCATTTCATGAAAAAAAAAACCTAGGTTAGGCATCTGATTCCGTTGAAGGTGTTGCTTCAAATTGTGACTTAAATCATCTCAACAAGTTGCCTGGTTCCTTGCTTTCATTTGAGACATTGGACACTTCTGGTATATTGGCGCCTCAGCTACATATTGGAATGTGCTTTTCATGCCTTCCTTGGGTAAGACCTTTGAGCTTCAAACTCATTTGATACTAATCTGTCATTTTGGTTCTTCTGTGTAAATTTCAGTCTTTTCATTGAGTGAATTCAACGTATCATTTATTTTTGTAAAGTATTCCCCTTGTATAATCTATCTTCTGATAATTATTGTCTTTTTCTTTGAATTATCAATCAGACTATTTCAGAGCATCACTTATATAAGCTGCAGTATCTGCATTTGGGCGCTCCTAGGATATGGTACAGCATACCCGGATGTGACTCACATAAGTTTGAGGTTATTGCAAAAAGACACTTCCCAGCTTCTGGAAAAGAGCATCTTGAGCGAATTCATAGATCAGCAAGTTCTTTAGTTTTGCCTCTACGCCTATAGCAAACATGAGACAGTATTCTTCAAAATCTTAGGAAAAATTTCAAATTTCAAGCTAAGGTATTCTGGCAGATCACATAAATTTTTTTTATGTATGTATAGTTCCATTGATTTAACAGATTGTCACGCGTCTAAATTTTGGAGGAAAGGTCTAAATAGCAGCATGTTTAGGGTGGAGGATTTGTTTGCGGTTGTGACTGTATGCCAGTAACTTCAGTTGCTGGCCAGGATGGATTTTGATGATATTCGTGTTGGTGTTCGTTGATGTTGTGTGTTGGTTATTGCTTACTATGTGTAGCTGTTATTGTTGATTCCTTTGCCCACCCTATTTTTTGTGTATAATCTGTTCAATCTTCTGATTAATTTGCATGTCCTGCTATTTAGTTTTCTCAAGTAAAATTATTATCAATAAAACAAGGGGGCAGTTGCAGGAGGGAGGGGGACAGCAGGGGGCCGGGGCAGGTGGAGCAGGGAGGGGGCAGCTGCAGGGAAGGGGGCAGTTGCAGGTTGGTTTATGATCACCTAAGGGATGCTTATCTGTCTGTCTTAGGTTTGGACTCTTTTTCTTCTATAAATTAAAGATTCATAATTCGTTTAGCAAAATAATCCCAATCTTTGTAAAATAAGCCATTATTGAAAGCAAGGTGTGTACAAAGAGAGGCGATTCCATGCTTTGAAATAATCCCATTAAACACTGTTTTTGATTTAAGTAGCTGTATTTCAGTGCTTAACAAGTTGCAATGTTAATTTTGATGTAGATGTAAAAGAGAGGCGATTCCATGCTTTGAAATATACATGGGGAGTCACTAAATTTCTTCCAATTTCTACATTCAATGACTCGGATTATGGATTTTTGGTTGATGATTGTTGTGTATTTGGTGCCGAGGTTTTTGTTATAAACAACCAAGTCAAGATATCTACTCTGTCAGTTGTGGAAGAAAAACATGACAGAAGCTTTACCCCTCAACTCTGAATGATGAATTGCATTCTCTTGTATTTTGCTATAATGGATGGTCATGGTATGTACTTATTTGTTTCTTCATTTTAAACAACCCTGCGCTTAGCTTAAAAATGCAATGCACAAGTACATATGGTTGTTTTCGATCATTCCAAGACATACAGATGTGCTAGCTAGTTCTGATGAAGTCTTACATTAAATAAGAAGTGGAAAATTTCACTCTAGTGTGACTAAAATTGCTTACTTTCTCTGACTAAAATTTCACTAAAATTGCTTACTTTCAGGAAATTGGAATTATGTCCAAGAGTAAAGGCTGATGATGGTAAATACCTCTCATTATATCTGCATCTAGACAATAGTTCTGGGCTAACTGATGGTAGCAAACTGTATGTTTAATATTTTCTTTACTTAAAGAATCAACGCGAAGGAGAAGATCACTACAAACTCGGTAAGATCACTTTTACTGGCTGCTCTACCTGAGAAGACATAACATCTATTGTCTGTTAAAATTTTAGGTATTGTACTCTGAAAAACTTATTATAGTTTCCTTATTTTTGCAGGTTATAACTATTTTTCTGTAAGTGAGGACACTTGGGGCTACACAGACTTTATTTCTCTCAGTGATCTACATGATTCTTCGAATAGCTACATCGTAGATGACACCATTATCGTTGAAGTTTCTATTGAGAAGATATTTAGAATATGCAGAATTTGTTGTCTTGTTATGCCTGAGTTTCATTGTATATGCAGAATTTGTTAGGTTTTTTATTCTATTTTTTTGGACGAAAATTGTAATATTACAGCCTTTTTTTAATGAAAATATGTAATTTTATATATATGTTAGTGTTTCTATATCAATTTAAATGAAAAAAAATGCAAAAAAAAAAACCGGTGCTAAAAGTTTTTATTTTTATTTTTTTGGGCCATTTTCACGCCGGTTCACAGCAAAAACCGGTGCGAAATCTTTTGGTTTTTGGCATCCCTCATATAAGGACCGGTTCAAAACCGGTGCTAAATGGGGGTTTTGAACCGGTGCCCATTTGGGTCATATGACTTTTGGACTTGTATGCTACCTACTAACTTTTTAGTAAAAGTGGGCCAATTATATAGATATAGGTTGAAATATTGGTCCGATGTGATAATAATTAAAATGAGGTAAGGTCGGATCAACTTTGCCATGTTTAAAAATTGCTCGGCTCTTTAGCTTTAAATCAATACTCGTTTTGTATTGAATGTCCTGGCATACTCAAATCATAGATATATATAGACACATATGTTGATTGCAATATTCAATTCTTAAACAAAAATGCAAATTAATAACTAAATCTTCACATGGACAATAAATGGTGTGAATAGAAAAAAAAAAAGTTTTAACAAAAGGAATCATATTCTCCATCATAATGAAAAGAATCAAATAATGAAACAGTGATAAATTAAAGTAAGAAAGAACATTTTAAAGGAGTAATCAAAAAGCTAATTTTCCATGAAAATTCCTTGTAAAGAAACGAAAATCCCAAGAAATACACCAAGTAAAGGCAAAGAATAGTATACGTCACATTTTAAATAATCCTATGTATATATATATACACACATTATCATCAAACAAATTAAACCTATGTTTCATTCCAACAGTATTGAACAAAATATTCTCTGAATTAACTTTCAATCAAGTTTCCTAAAATGTCTAGCTCTGATTCAAGAGCAAAGATGATAAGCCCTTTGATAGTAAAAGCTGGAATCCCAGCTGCTCTTTCTGTTGCAGCTTATGTTTGTGCAAGGATAATGTCGAAACAATCGACTAATTCGATGCCATCTCCATCGGATTATTTGGAAGAAACTTATCGTTCCAATAGCCTTAATCCAACTTATGATGATCAATACAATGAAGATAATTCAAGTTTGCAAGCTCTAGGGAATATTAGTAGTAACTTAGAGGACAAGTTACTAGAGCTCGGAATTCATATCGAAAATCTTCAAAAGAGGGAAAGGGATTTGATGAGGCAATTTGTTCGATATCGAGGTGTGAAGGAGAAAGAGCTAATGTTAATGGAGATGAAGTCTAAGATGATGTTGGAAAAAGCTCAAGCCGAGTTCTTGCTAAAAGAGATGTCATTTGTACAAGAAGAGAGCCAAAGAATTGGAAGTTTTATCTTAGAGTACATTAAAATTGTGCAACAACTTGAAGAATCTAAGAAGGAAAATGGGTTGCTTGAGAGGAAAGCAAGGAAGTTGTGCAAAAGAGCAAGACAGAGATTGAAGATTATAAGGGAATTGAAGTTGAGGATTCAAGCAAGGGAAGAAGAGGTGTTAAACAATCAAGAAGAGATTCAAAAAAAAGATGATCTTATTCAAGAATTGGAAGATGAAATTAATCAAATGAAAGAGGTTATTGATCATTTACAAAGAGAGAAAATTGAGGTCTCCAATAATAAGCTTGAAATTGATGAAAATTTATGTTCATCAAATCCAAAGGTATGTTCTTTCTTCCATTTAATTAAAAAGAAGGGCTATATACTACATATAAAATTTTGAAAGAAATAATGTATAATTTTAGGAAAAAAAAAAAATAGATTTGGGATTACATCATAATTGGTTAACAACGCATAAACATGTTGTTTTAATGATATTAATAATGTCTAAATTATTGAAATTGTGATAATTTTATCTTAGCTATGCCAAATTATAATTGTGATTCATGAGATATATTTTGATTTTTTCTTAGTTTATCCTAGCATACAAATGAATACAACTACGCTTGTAAGCTTTAATTAAATTGGGATATGAATTATGGGGTACAAAGTATAATATGAATTGTAAGCTTCATCTCCATTTAGCTTCTCTTAGAGCATCAACATTCATGGGGCTCCCCATAATTTCTATGCTATAATGATCGATCAATTTAACTAAACATTTTTTATGCTATAAAGTCAATAATGATTTAGATCATGAATCCATTTTGGTTTAGCATGCATATTAAAATCAATAATATAGTACATAATTTAAAACATCAGAATATAATCTAGCTTTGAGAACATAATCCAACTTTAAGAATTACAAATTAATAATATACTCCTTATATATGTAATCAATGTAAAGTGCAGACAGAAAAACAATGTTCTAAAACATTTGAATCTTTGTTCTTTTCATGCTTTTGCGAGTCATTATAAAGGAAATAAGCATTTAGCATCCTGAATCGTCACACTTTAATGTAAAGTTTAACCTTACACCTCCTTTGGTTGATTTAAAAATTCAAAAGCTGCATATAGAAATAAGAAACTTAGTGCTAAAGAAAGTAATGCCATATCCGTAAAGTCTAGGTTAGTCAATAATGGAGTAGTAGACGTTGAACATTATAAATATATATGTACAGATTAAATTGTTAATGTGACTATTTATTTTGACTAAAGCTCAAAAGGTGTATGAAAATATAAAAAAAGTAAAATAAAATAAAAAATAAAAAAAATATTGAATTGTTGTTCATTAATTATTAGGCAGCATTTTGTTAGAGGAATTTTTATGTAGTATGAACTATATTATCACAATTGGGAGTACTTAACTATAATATGCAATAATGTAAAATTTTATGAATAGAACTTATCAACAAGTTTTCATTCTGCAGTTGATATTAAGAATTTTGTACGTAACAAAGAGTTATAGATAACCTATGTTCATGTTTGAAAATATTATCATAAATATTAAATAGAACTTATTTAGAGATTTTATTACACTGTAGTGACACAAAATAGAGGACGTTGATTACCGAACTCTCCAAAGTGAGCGGAAACACGTGAATCTATCAAACCTTAGGCAAATTTATACATATTGCTATATATTTCTTGGAACTATAATTTCCAACAACGAGTAATTGAAATGATCATTGCATATCATCTTGTTTAAATTTAAAGACGTATAAATGATAATTTTCCTACAAGTCACTTGATTTTATATTCTTGGCCTTACTTTGAACTTGTAGAATGTTGAAATAGAAGGTGTAACAAAGGAGGAGCATGAAAAGGTCCTACAAGAGCTAGAACAACTCCAAAAAGACCGAGAAGCCGAGGCAAGTGAATTAACATACCTAAAATGGAGCAATGCATGCTTAAGGCATGAATTATTAAGGTGCCATGAGCTAAACAAAGGAGAAAATGGGAACCAAGCCGAGGAAATCGAGTCATTGGAAGATCACCGTGGTGAAATTGATGAGAATTATGGTTGCAATAACAAAGCACTTTCGGTTCATAATGATCATGAGCTTTGTTTGAGTACTAATAATGGTCATCCATCTAGGAGGCGTCGGTTTATTCTTAAGGTAAAGAAATGGGTTGAAAGAGGAAAAATGGATGAAAAAGAAAAGGATGAAGTTAAGTGTTTTGTTAATAAGCTTTGTACTTCTCATGAGGAGGATCAAGATAACCTATTTGTTCATGAAAGGATGTCTTACTCAAGTGCTTAGTTTTAAACATTTCTTCATTTGATTTATGTATTGTTAATCAACTGTCAATTCTATGAATGATGTGATCTTATCATACTTTACAACATCAAAAGTGTGGTTTCATGTAAATTCGATAATTTCAAATTAATTTGCCCCTCCCCTGTTGTTGTTGTTGTTTTTTTTTTTATTTTTTTATTTTCGTATTAATTATTTTATGTTTAATTAGTGAGTGAAATTTCCCATTTTCTTATGATTCATTATACAAGTATAAAATTTGGTCACATCATGTAGCCATATACGAAACATGTTGGTATTTCCCATTTTCTTATGATTCATTATACAAGTATAAAAATTACGTAAGTTACGAGTACTAATAAAGTAATAATTACGTATTTTTATTTTTTTTGCAATATCTTACAAAAAATTATTTATAGAATAAGCAGAACTTATTTGCATATTATCTAGCAATATAAATTTTCGATGAATATTAATTTTTTTTTACGATTCATTTATTTGATGGATATGTGTACTCAAAAGATAATAAAATTTAGGAAAATTTGTCAGAAAGGTCATTTTAAGTAGGCATTTTGGTTGCAAAGGTCCTTTTATAAAAAATGTGGCACAGAAAGTCTTTTTATTGCACTTAGATTGTGGCGAGGGTCTTTTGACCGGATTTCGGCCATTGAATTTTTTTTTCCGACCAAAAAAAGTCACGTGCACCACTTAAAATCCCCCCCCCCCTTTACCCTCTAACCTTGTTCGATTTGTCTTCAACTGCCTTCAATTTTAATGTGAGGCACTAAAATTGGAGTTTGATGATTGTTTTTTTTCACAAAAAGGATTCGCATTAAGGTTAGTGATGAAACTAGGATTTAATAAAGGGAAAGGGGGGGGGGGGGAAGGAATTTTAAGCGGCCACGTGCAAGACACGTGGCTTTTTTTGGTCGGAAAAAAAAGTCAATGGCCGGAATCCGGTCAAATGACCCTCGCCACAACCTAAGTGCAATAAAAGGACCTTTTGTGCCACCTTTTTTTATTAAAGGACCTTTAATTTACAACAAAAAGACTTACTTAAAAGGACCTTTCTAACAAATTTTCCCAAAATTTATACTACGTGAAAGATGTAAATTATAGTAAAAGAAGTATCAATTCTTAATATTTGTAGTAAAGAGGACATAGATGATAACATATATATATATATATATATATATATATATATATATATATATATATTTTTTTTTTTTTTGAGGAAAGATAATAAAATTCATAACAAAGCACCTTCAATGGTTTAATTGTAAGGACTTGCTTGTGAAATATACGAAGTACAAAATATCTAGCTACATGCTTACCATTGGATCGGAGAACAAAATATTGAGCAACTTGCAAGCTATTATAGCCCAAACAAGCTACATGTTTCCTTACCTTATAAAAAGTACAAGATTACTCTTATTAATAGTGTGGTGTCAATTATACCCTTCCAAATGTGTATTTACATGTTTACCCTCATTAATATGCATGTACATGTTTACCTTCATTAATGATAACTGACTTTTTTTCAAAAAATTATTAGAATACTGTGCGCACATTTATACCCCTAAAATATATTTTTTTTCTTACATATTTTTCCTCATTAATTTAGTCAACAACTGAAAAAGCTCCATGAACATGGCTAGTTATGGCGCGCACGTTAGCTACCTTATTAATTGAAAATGAGACAAATAAACTCCACTCATATTATAACATGTGAACAAATGTACAATCATTTAATTTTTTTTGTATATTTTATTTTTTGCAAACTATAAATTGTAGTAGGTTATTATTGAAAACTTTGTTTTTTTTTTTTTAAATGGTAAGGAGAACTCTGACCACACCTCAACCCTCACGGTTTTTTCGGTCCAATATTTGCAGGCCAAGCACTTGAAAGTAGAGAGGGGATTAAGAAAATCTCTACTCCCAAGTACCCTTACTTTTTTGGATTCGAACCCCCAAACCTCTCAAATATGAGGTGAGAACGAACCTTTCCAAGCGAGCCAACACTTTGTTGGTCATTGGAACACTTATTTGCAAAAAACTACTGTAACTTAAAAATTAACGTGGCAAAGCAAACTACAAAGTATTGATTGTAGCTTAGAGAATGGAGAGCGAGAGAGAAAAAAGTCTGTCGAGTGAGGAAAACGACCTACTTCAGCAGTCGAATAGAAAATTTAAAAGAAACTTTCACGAAAAATTGAATGAAGACAATTCCATTCAAGGAAATGGTGAGGTAATGTAGATAAAAGAGGAGTCGTTCGTGGCTGAAACACAGGGTTATGGAGTAGAGGGAAATCAATCTGTCTCGTATATACAGGCGGTTAGAGGATATGATAGAAGTGTGAATCCTCTATTTGAAGGGGTATAGAATGAAGTGGATCTAGTAACAGATGATGATACTCCTATTGAAGAAGATTCTGATGAAGAGGGTTGCCCTACCATCTACTTGACCAAAGAAGAAAAGCGCAGGCTTAGAAGGCCCTGGAAAGATGCTCTCATTATCAAGCTTTTTGATAAGAGGCTAAGCTATGAGGTGTTGGTGAGAAGATTGAAGGCCAAATGGAGTTTGTAGGGTGATATTGCCCTCACGAATGTAGCACATGCTTATTACATTGTGCGTTTTAACAATCGAGAGGACTATGAGTATGTCCTAACAAAGGGCCCTTGGATGATTGGTGATAGTTATTTAACTATCCGGAAATGGAAACCAAATGTTATATTTGATGAGGAGCCTATCAAGAAGCTTACGGCTTGGGTTCGTATCCCACAACTCTCAGTTGAATACTTCGACAAACAATTCTTATTCAAAATTGGCTCAAAGATAGGTAAAGTTATTAAAATAGACAGGAATACAGAGTCAAAATATTGTGGGCAATATGTGCGATTTTGCATTGAAGTTAATCTCACCAAGCCACTGTTGTCCAAGTTTAGATTGAATTGGAGAGGGTATGGCGTATCCAGTACGAAGGGCTCAAAATGATATGCTTCAAATGCAGTCGGTTGGGGCATAAAGATGATGCTTGTCCAGCCTTTATGAATGAAGGTGTACATGATGGTCCTGCAAATTTTAAGAATCAGGGTGTCTTCGATAAAAGTCAAGTCTAGGGCACCAGGTCTAAAGTAAAGGAAAAATTTGGTGCATGGATGCTAGTCCAAAGACCTACTAGGAAATACACTCCTAAGACTAAACAAGAACAGTCAAAAAAGCACACCAAGATTGCTATGGAGATCCAAGATGGACAAAAGCAAGGGTCCAAAGTGACTCAAACTATGCGCAGACCTACTAATCAGCCAAGTGCAAAGAGATTGGACAAAGGTGGTTCAAGGTTTGCTATCCTTGAGCACGAAGAAGTTATGGTAACAGGAGATGAAGAACTTAACAAAAATGTGATAGCTGTTAATATGGAGAAAGCATCAAGTCAAGGATCCATACCAAATGGTATAGTCGTAAATCTTGGAGAAGATGGCTCAAATGGAAAAAATATCACAAGATAAGATAAGGAAGTTGTTATGATTGAGGAAAAATTTCAGGAAGAGATGAATTCTACTGTGAATTTAGGGAATGAAAGTGCGCATGCTACTAAATTAGATGGGGGGAATAATATTAATTTGGACAAAAATATTCATGAAGGAGGAAATCGCTCTGATTTCGGAAAGGATCAAATTCTGTGGATGAATAGCAGTTTTGTTGACAAACCCAAGAAATAGTATGAAGAATATTACCTTACCTAAAAACTCTAATTAAAATTTAGGAAAGGAATCTCGTGCACCCTTGAGCAATCGAAATTTCAAAAAAAATCAGATTCATCACTCTCACCTTATGCTAGATTGGTGAATAGTGGTGGAAAAGAGAATTTAATTGAGATAGCTTCATCTACTCCATCAGCTCTACATGAGAAGAATTCTGATAATGAATCCGTGGCAAACTGGAAATGAAAATCCCCCGAGCTACGAATCATTTGTGGATTATCAAATGAAGGGACCAACTGTGGTGATGGTACACCCCCTGGCTAATATACAAAGGATGGATGAGATCTTGAAAGCTGAAGAATTGCTTTGGTTTCAAAAATCACGACTTGATGCGATTTGTGATGGTGACCGTAACAGTCGGTATTTTCACTTATATACAATTATGAGACGTAGAAATCGTACTTTAACTTTGAAGAACGATCATGGGGAGTGGATTTCAGAGCCTAATGAAGTTTAACATCTGATTATGCAATATTGGTCTGGTTTGTTTCAAGAAGAACATCATCAGAGAGGTAATTCGCACATGCTTCCAGATTACTTCCCCTGTATTTCTGATTCGGATATGGAACTTCTTGCTCGACCGTTCAGTCCATGTGAGGTTAAGGCTGCGCTAAAGAGTATGAAGGCATACAAAGCCCCGGGTCCTGATTGTTTTCAACCATTATTCTACCAAAAATTCAGGAGCTTGGTTTAACCGAATGTTGTTCGTTTGGTTCAGGATGTTCTTGCGGGAAAAGAGTTTCCAGAAGGTCTCAATGATGCTTATTTGGTGTTGATCCCAAAAGTTGAGACTTCCGAGAAGGCCAATCAATTTCGGCCTATAGGTTTATGCAATATAACCTATAAACTTGTGACTAAAGTGCTTGTGAGCCAGTGCTACCATCTTTGATTTCACCTACTCATTTCTCTTTTGTTCCCAAATGGCAGATCACAGATAATGTGATAATCGTGCATGTAGGGAATTTTTCAACTTTCTCCTTACTGTGGTTCATGCTTTTAGGCATGACGGCGTTCAAAGGAAAAGAAGCTAGAGAAAAAAGAGTCGTCAACAAGTTTTAGGAACTTGTAAACCGTTCACGAGTGTGAAGGTTACACCCCATTCACGATCAAGGAGATCGCTAACTCCATAGTGGTCTGAACCATGACTGGATGTTCGGGGATGATGGTACGAATCCAACCTAAAAGAGATTGAACCCGCCCTAATTAAATAGGCCTTTACTCAATTCTTATGATATTCCATGCGCGCTTTTCGATCAACATACATACATCAAATTAATCTAAACCTATATAATTTACATTGGTTGATTATTAACGCATAATAAAATCTAATATTGGTGGTCATTGTACTTGATTTAAAATCATATTAAGCCTAAATTAAATTATTAATTATCTTATTAGGCGTGATTTCAAGTAAAAATTCTCTTTAAACTTGCAAAAAGGGGGTGTGATCAAGCAATAACAATAAATCATAAATAATCAAGCAATATATGATCAATACAACAATCATCATCATAAGAACATCATCAAAACATCATTAGTAGTAAGATCCTATACATGATACTAAACGGATTAATAACAAATCCTAGCATGCCACTAATAACAAAATTAAAGCATTATCCTAAACATGATACTAGAAATCATAACAACATCCTAAACATGATACTAGGAATTAAAATAACATTGTAAACATGATTTCATTATACTCCAAAATCAAAAGAATAATAATAAGGGTGATTGAATTACTCACTTTGATGCCTCAACCTTCTTGCTATTAAAACAATACACACGTTAGTAAACTTCAAGAAAGTTAAATCAATAAAGTAAATAAATCAAATATGAATTGAAATAGAGATTTTGGTACCAAACCCTCATAACTATCAACCTTTCACGTCGAGGTCAAAGGCAACGTTGATGATGGCTTAGAGTATTCGAATCTTGTGAATGAGATATTGTGACTGATTTGGGAGAGTATCAAGGATGTGTTTAGGCTAAGGCTAAGAACATGGATGTTTAAGAAAGATGACGATTATTGATGGTAATTGTTAATGGTTCTAGTTGATTTCAATATGGGGAAAGCAACCTCTATTTATAAGGAAAAGGAGAGTCTGACATTCAGAAAAAGACCAGAATTTGGAACAGAATAAAACTACTCTTGACGCGGGGCGACAGAATTGTCGCGGTGCACCAGTGTCCATCGCGATGCGATGAGGTTGATGTGTCGCGTTGGTTTTGTCATTCTACGATGATTTCTAAAAATAATAAAGTCTTATGGAGTTTGATTTCCAATAGAATTATATTTGTGAAATATATTCAGACGTCTTTTAATTTGAACGGGATAAGGACTATCATATGAGAAGTTTTATTCGGCTTCGAACTCTTTTGATCTTTATCTTTTCGGAAAGGATAAATTAGAACCTTCTAGAGACTTCTAGAAGTTCCTAAAGAATCCTAATTGGTTTAGGATTGGGAATAAGATATTAGTACCCTCATACGATCATTGGGTCGTAGGTAATGTGGACCTAGGCTCGGTTTGAGTTTGATTTAGTATTTTAGCCATAACTTATTCATTTTAAGTCGGATTTGGGCTCATAATATATCTTTGGAAAACTCTTTTCGAACCCCATCCAACTAAGAAATAATTGGACCGATATTACGGGCCAAAACAATCAGGTTTGGACGTTTTTATGACTTGGACACAAAATGAATGATTTTAGGTTTAAAGACACGAAATGAATGATTTTGGATTAAAACTTTTAGGAAAGGTTAGAATATGGTCAAGGCTTAAGGAAACTTCACGAGACTCTTCAACTCTTTACGGAACTCGTTAATCAAAGACGTGAAAGGTACTCATCATTGGGTTTGGTTTTTGGGGAGACACAATCAGGTGTCTATAGTGCAAGAAATGCTTCCTACAATGTGAGGAAAGAAGGGAAGACAAGGTTATATGGCTATCAAAATAGACTTCGTAAAAGCCTACGATAGGATAAGATGGAGTTTCATTCGTGAATCTTTAATGGAACTTCGCCTCCTGCAATATATAGTTGATATTACTATGCATTGCATCACTTCGGTAAACTTGTAGATTTTGTGGAACGGAGAACCTATGGAGATCTTTAAGCTTTCGAGAGGTATTCGTCAAGGAGACCCTTTATCTCCTTACTTATATGTCATTTGTATGGAGAGATTAGCTCACTTGATCGATCGTGAAGTAAATTGGGTGGGTGGAAACCTGTAAGAGCAAGTAGAAATGGTCCATCTATCTCGAATTTAGCCTTTGCATATGATTTGATTCTCTTTAGTGAAGCTTTAGTTGAACAAGCCAATATTATCCAATCATGTTTGAATATATTTTGTGAAGCCTCAGGGAGTCGAGTTAGTATTGGCAAGTCGAAAATTTATTTATCTGCCAATACTATTTTTGATACTAGGGAAGCAGTGTGCGAATGCATAGGAATGGATATGACAGAGGACTTTGGTAAATACTTGGGAGTGCCTACTATCAATGGGAGGACCTCCAAACGTGAGCACCAATATCTCGTGGATAAAGTGAATGCGAAGCTTGCGTGGTGAAAGAACTCTATCAATTGCGGGGAGAGCGACTCTAATTCAATCGAATTTAAGTACAATCCCCTCGTACACGATGTAATCAATCAGGCTACCAAGGTCAACATGTGATGAAATTGACAGAAAAAATTGAAGTTTTCAGTGGGGTGAGCTAGATGGAAAGCGCAAGGTTCATCATGTAGCATGGGAGAAAATCACTAGGCCGAAAAAAGATGAAGGCTTCAGCTTTAATTCTATGGGATAAGCTAATAATAAGGCGTTCCTTGCAAAGCTAGGTTGGCGTCTTTTGGCTGAACCAAATGCATTATGGTTTAGGATTCTCAAAGCTAAAACTGTGATAATCGATGTGATTTGGATATGTTCCAAAACAAGGGTAATGCCTCTAGCACTTGGAAGGGACTCATGAATAGCGTTGAAATTATATTGTGAGAAAAGGGGTGAATGTAGCAGTTGGGAACGGGTCAAAAACGTTCTTTTGATATCATAGATGGGTAACCAATAAGCCTCTGTTGTCTTATACTTCAAGAGAACCACCACTTTCAATCCAAGATTTGACAGTACAGTAAATGTAGGATGATAATTTGGCTTAGAGATTTCATCAGTTTGCTGATTACTTACCAGATTAGGTCTTAGGGGAATTGGCTGCCCATAGTGTGATTGATGATG